TTGTCAACAATGGGCCAGAACTGTGGCTCTGGCCTAAACAATGACAGTCCCGAGGCCCTGGAGGTCCCCTCTTTGCAGGACTTTAACGTTTTTTCCACAGATTCCTGCCTGCAGCTTTCAGATGCAGTTTCTCCCAGTTTACCAGGTTCCCTGGACAGTCCAGTAGATATTTCAGCTGACAGTTTTGACTTTTTTACAGACACACTCACCACAATCGACTTGCAGCATCTGAATTACTAAAAACATTAAAACAAAACAAAGCATCACAAAACAAAAACCCCTCTGACCAGGTGGTTTTGCCTTCTTTTATTCTGAGAGTTGATTTCTATTTTATTTTCCTCTTGACCTACCCTCTCTTCCTTTAAATGTTGGGGATTTTCTGTTTAGTGGTTCCCCTGACCCAGTTTCAGTGCCATCTTTACAGATTTTCTTTTTGAGTTTTAGTTGTTTTAAGTCTAAACCAACCACCCTCTATGTGATTTCCTGAAGCAATATACAAGGCCTGCAAGAAAGTGATCATATAATTGTATCTTCACTTTCTTTTTATTTTTGTATAACATTAGGATGCATTGTCATGCGTATTTTTGGTAGAATAAATTCTCCTTTGCTATAAGTAGCTTTCTTATTTTTTCTCCCCCTCTTTCTCCAAGCTCATAACGGTTTCTTTTTCTTCTTTTAGTCTAACTTGGTAAATAAAATTCTGGTCACAATTTATTTTCTTTTTCAATTTTAATATATTTATTTAGTGGGCATGTTCAAAATCTTCAATAGACAGCAACAAAAAGAAAGCCAGAAATCGGTTAGGGGCTTCTGAAAAGTTTCTTTTTTTTCCAAGGGAATGGATTTCATTTTTTCATTGCAGCAGTTCAAGCCATAGGTTTAAATTTGGTAATAGAAACTGGATTGGGCAGCCTCAGTATTGGTCTAAGCCCAAGATTTTGAAAGTGGAGAAATAAAGTGTCTACAGAAACTCCCAACTCCAGGAAGGAGAAACATAGAGTTTCTTTAACAAGCCACTAGTGTGCAGGTCAATAACTAAGTTATCAACAATTCATTTATTTATACACATTTGTTTAAAACATCTACATTCCAATCCCCTCCTCCACTGACTCTCTGCCCGTCCCGCCCCCCCCAATCCATTTTCAGAGTAGTTGATTAGCCTCCCAGCTGTTGATGGGTCCAGGCAAACAGACCTGAAAGAGAAGAATAAAAATAAAACAAAACAGTAGTTAGGAGTTGGAAAATGCACTTCAGAAAGCATTCTTTCCAAACCTCTGGTTCAGTCATTCTAGGATTTTTATTTTCAGTACCAAAAAAAAAATCAATCAATATTTCATTCTTAAATCTGTTTACATAGCAAATAGTGAATCATTAAAGCTTTGAAGTCAGGTTAGCAAGTTGAGATTTAAAGTGGAGTGTTTCTGCACCCTAGGTAATAGATTAACGCAGATTTAGAGAGAGAGAGAAAGCACTTTAAATGAAATATCAATAAAACGTGTGTTACTGGGTTGTTCTGTTACCCCCTTCTTATGTCTCCCCATGTTTGTTTTTCCCTTATTGAGCTATGTTTTGATGACTACTTACCGTGAGAAAACGTAGAGGCTAAGCAACATGTGTGGGGGGCGGGTTGATTTAAGAACCCGGCTCTTAACAGCAAAAGCTTGGAAGCTATAATGAAATCTCAGTCTTTCTCTTTGAGTTGCTCCCATCTTTCCCCCATCTTCTTACCCCCCCTAAATCCTGGCAGCGGCAGAGGTGCATGAGGACCCGGCGGTTCTCCAGCCCCAGACGCCGAGTGGAGCTGGGCTGCCGGCCGCGGCCAGGGCTGCGCTGCTGTTTGCATTCGTCCTACGCTCATAAATCAAACGCTTTCTATGAATGAGAATGTCATCAAAGGAGATCAATTGCAGGAACACATGCACAAATAAAAATCCTCTTACGTATTTGCCGGGGATTCCCGTCCGAAAGCATTAAGTTAGAAGGCGTTTAGTCATAATTCATTTTTATTGCTCTTTTAAAACAACAGCTTGGCTGAGCCGCGGATGCTATGAACAGCTCCCCCGGCCTCCGCGGCGTTTTGTCTCCTTGCTCTTTCCCTTTCTAGTAGAAGAACCCAGAAAGAGGAACTTTGAACCCAGCGAGTCGCTTGCAGGCTATCATTTAAATCTTGGCCAGGCTAGCCTTTCACCCATTCTCCCGTGACATTTAGCTCGAGTCGTGGGGCGCTGGCCTACTTGCCCAGAGGAACCCGGGTCTCCAACACCGCGGAAGGAGCCCCAGGTTTTGGAGGGGGGAGGGGAGTGAGGTGGGGAAGGAACCCAGCTACGGAAGCCTGCGGGCTCGATGCCAGGGGAGGCTGCCTTTGTGATCAGCTCCGGGAGAGCAGCACTCTGGGCGGCCAGCCGGGGCGGAGCTGGCTCCGCAGTGAAAACCCGGCCTGCAGGGAGCCGGTAGCCGTGCGCGGAGGCGGGTGGGTCGCCATCCGTGAGTCTGCGGGCCTGTGTGCACTACGAGCGTGTGAACCCAAGAACCCGTGATGGCCCTGAAAAGAGGCCAGGAAAAAGGAAGGGAGGTGGAAGGAGAGGAGCGCCGAGGCTGCGAACTAGCAGAGGAAGCAGAGCGGTTGCGGTTCGGCGTGGCTTTGTGGCGCCAGCTCGGCAGCCAAGAGAGTCGCGCACACCCCGGCGGAGGAGGCCTAAAAAGGGACACAGCTATAAAGCAGTGTGTGTGTGTGTGGGGGGGGCGTACCGACGAGTTTTTGCCGGGAAAACAGATCGTTCGCAATGCCAGCACGGACCTCCTCTACGGGAATTCCTTCTTTCCCCTTCGTCGGAGGTTTGGCGCTCCCAAGGAAGCCGCCTCCAGGAGGGCCGCCTTGCCTTTTCCCTTCTCCCTTTACCCAGGTGCTGAAATCGGGGCAGGAGTGTGTTTTTCTGCCTTAGCTCTCTCCTAACCATATTTGGGGGTATGGGTCAAAGGTCACAGAATACCATTTCAAAGGGAAATATGTAGGGAAGTGGTTTCTTTGCTATGGAGAGAGTCTGCGTTTCTCCTGGGGGAGGGGAGAGAAAGGGGCTGGGCTGGGGGAGCTTTATATATGTGGAGAACAGAAAATAGAAACCTGAAAGGTTCACTAACATCTGAAATCTGCCTGCCTTAAGCAAAACATACCTCTAACCGGGGAGGGAAAACTAGAGGGGAGTAGGAACCCCAAATCCACATGCAATCCTCATATAAATTTCATCTGTTGGATTCCGATGTATTAATAATACACTAGAAAGGGTAAAAATTACATAGCATTGACTGTAAAGCTTCATGGATGATCTCTGGATTTCTTTTTACCCAGGAAGACATTATTTCTCTGCTTCTGTTTTTCTGCCTTTAAGCCAAGGGTTGACATGAGACCTAATAGTAAACAGCAATTAACGACCTAGTCAGCATCAGGCTAGGATGAGGGTGATGGAGAACAGGACCCCTGGCCTGGGATGATGCTCAGATTTGCTCTCTAGGGAGAGTTCAACGTTCCCGCGAAGAACTAAACAGTCAGTTACAAAGGGGGAGGAGGTGGTGTTGGGAAGAGGAAAGTGTCCTGTCCACCATCAGCCATCTGTCCACCGCCCCTCCCACCTGCCAGCCTCCACCCCCATTTCAGGCGTGCAGTAGAATGGGGGGTGGGTGGGTATAGGATGCGCTACCATTCCTAAATCGGCGGGTGGGGTGGGGGTGAGTTCAATGTACTCGCAGAAGCTGTGGTCTGGCCCTTTGTGGCCCCAGCTAGAACACACTAGCTCCAGGGTCCCAGGGAGCCAGCAGATGGCCTGCAGCGCACAGCACGGCCCCTACGCTCACCACGTCCGCTAGCGTCATCCTTCTCTAGCCCCCCTCCCCCACCCCTCAAAATCTAGCCGCCAGAGTTGCTCCAGCTACTTAGGGCACCCTGAGCAAAATCTAGTGGGGAGGAGAAAGGGGTGGGGAGCGAGATGAGAGGGAGGGCGAAGGGCCTGGCCACCCCCCGGCCTTTTCCGGAAAGCTCAGCTCGCGTTCTCGCCAGTTCCCGGGCATCGAATTACAGAAGCTCCTCATTGCCATGCTAATAGACAAGAGGCCGGGAGGTGGGGGGGGGTAGTGGTG